GAAGGAAGGAAGGAAGGAAGGAAGGAAGGAAGGAAGGAAGGAAGGAAATCCCTGCTAGTTTACCTCTTAAGCATTCCCACAGATTTCAAACCCGAGTTTGAATATGCTTACTGGGAAGTAACTCCCAGACCTAGACAGAGTCTATTCTCATTCGTTTTTTTTTAAGAGGGGGGACAAATCGCTTTGCATGAGAAAATCATTGAAATGAAAAGACGGGGTGTGGGAATAATCACCAGGCTATAAAAATCTTCTTGAGATGTGGGGTCCATTCGTGGCAAGATCTTGAGCAGGGAAGCAATTTTGCTAACTCTGCAGCTATTTGTAACAAGCTTCAAACCATGCGGCTTTTACGCATGATAGCGGACGGCAATATAAAGGTATTTTGTTTAGGTTTTTTTTTTGCTTCTTTTTTTACGAGACCCTGGTGGGGTTTCACCAGAACCCCTTCCCAAGATTGTAACCTGACCTCTCTCTTTTTCACCATTAATCTTATTTCTTTTGACCTTTGCATGCCTGCCTCCCTCCCTCTAGAAGTTGGGACCTTAATTAGTTTCTCGTGGCTCTCTCTCAGTACTTCCCTTCTCTGCAACCTCTTAAACTCAGTTTCTCTGTGAAATCTAAGCTTGGGGGGGTGGGTTTCTCAAAAAACAAAACAAAACAAGGTGCGCACCCTAAAAAGCCGAAACTTATCCAAACTCAAAACGAGGCTTTAGTTCTTCTGCAAATGTTCGCTGGTCCTCAACTGATGGATGGATGGATGGATGGATGGATAGATAAATAGAGCAATATCATAGGTAGATAGATAGATAGATGGATGGATGGATGGATGGATGGATGGATGGATAGATGGGTAGATAGATTAGATAAAATAGATTAAATAGATTAGATAAAATAGATTAGATAAAATAGATTAGGTAGGTAGATAGATAGATATTTAAAAAATTCTAAACAAGGATAGGCTTCCTCGTCTCTCCAGAGAGCTGTCCACCACCACCAATTTTGAAAAGAGCTCTGAAACGAATCTCCGGTGCCCCCCCCCCTTTTCCCCCTTTCTTTTTAACACAGACTCCTTTCCTGAAGATTTCTCCCCAAAGACAGAGCTGAAGGATGCTGGCCTCCCCAGACCATTTGGGGGGTCCTTGGTGCTCTCTGAGCTTGGTGGTTTCCATTAGCCAAACTAGGTAACCCTATCGTCATAATTGGGGTAACGAAAACGTCTGCAAGGGGACGGGGGGGGGGAAACCCCACCCCAAGATCAGGGAGCACTGAGTACCCCCCATTTCAACTCCGAGGAAATATTCTCCTTGTAAGGCCCTTCTTAGCCAGGGTGCAGCTTCCACAGCTGCCAGGGAAACAACCCGCCCAAACCCACCAATTCCATGATCCCTCTCCTCGTCCTCTTTGGGTGGGTTGTGTCCTCTCTCTTTGGCAGCCCTTCTGCATGGCCCCCTCTTAGAGATTGAGGGGAAATGGGGAAGGGGCCGGGTGAATTCCGGGCGCAATAGAGAAAAGTCATTCCGGGCCCAAGCAATGAGATCTGCCTAAAACGCAGATTGGAATCTGGGATTTCTCGGCTGCTAAAGAATTAAATTATTGGAGGGGGACGGAAACCCAGATTTCCTCCCCTCCCTTTCTTACTCTCAGGGGTCTCTCCTCCAGCTTCCTTGTGGTAGAACCGGCCGGCAGCCGTTTCCTGGGCTACTTGGGAAGCCTTGCTTTCATTTTCCATTCTTTTTGCTCTGCTCTGCTCCTCCTTTTTCTCCTCTCCTCCTGTCTCTCTCTGAAAAAAACTTTTTCTATGTTTTAATCTCCTTAATCTCTTTCCTTCTGTTTTTTTTTTTAGTGGAGTTTCTTTCCATTTAATTTCTCCTATTGCCTTCCTTCTTTCCTTCTCAAATCTTTTTTTCCTCTTTTCTCCCCTTCTCATTCTTTTCCTCCTCCTTCCTTTTTTCCTGTTTTATCATCTCCTTTTCTCCTTTCTCCCTCCTTCTCCCTTTGTTTTTTCCCCTTCCACCTCTTCTTCCTTCTTTCCTTCCTAATGTGCTGGCTCTCCTTTTTCTTTGTTTTCTTTCTCTTCCTCTCTCCTTCTCCTTTTCTGCTTTCCTTCCTTCCTTCCTTCCATCCTTCCATTTTTTCCTTCCTAATTTACCAATTCTATTTTTTATGTTTTCTCCCTTTGACTTCTCCTTCCTTCCTTCCTTCCTTCCTTCCTTCCTTCCTTCCTTCCTTCCTTCCTTCCTTCCTTCCTTCCTTCTCTTTTGACTTGGGACGGTTGCCTTTCTCCCCTACTGCCTATCCCCAGGCTGGACTCTCCCCTCCCTCGTCCTACTCCTGAATCTGCATGATCTCATTACAGCCCTTTGAAACCCAGATCCCAACTTTTCAAACTTAGCTTTTCACATCCCTCCCTCCCTCTTTCTCTCTTGCTCTCTCTTTCTCACCCTTATTCATTCTCATTGTTGCCTTTTATCTGTAAATCATATTTCTGATTCTCTTTCTCTAAATCTCTGCCAAGGATATCAAGCTTCTAATTCTTCTCCTCAACCATCCTAGATTTGAGATTCTTGATTGATGGACAGATATAGAGATAGATAAAGTAGAATAAATAGATAGATAAAAATAAATATGAATGGATAGATGGATGGATAAATAGATAGAGATAGAGTTAGAGATAGATAGAGATAAAAATAGATACAAATGGATAAATATGGA